AAGCCTTATTGTTTTAAAAGGGCCTGGAGACAAATTGTACCCCAAGCTCACTAAAGTCACTCCACTCCACCTGTATTCACTCTGTCTTGTACTATTCAACTTCGCCCCATTCCATTATGTATTAGTGACCTATCCACACATTATTCCCATTCAATGTTTACTTTTGTTAAATCATATACGTAGCCATAGTATAACATCCTTGGATGCAGATATCATGTGAATGCGTGAATAATCTTCACTCTTTATTTCACGTCGACCAATCATAAGTTGAAGTGGACAATTATGCAAGAGTATATCAAGTAGCTAACATGCTATATATGAAGACCAAGATCATGTGACCCTAAGTGTTGGTTCGATTTTTCACCCAGCCAATGAACAATGCTTAAAATCTCGACTAATATGGCAGAGGACACAGGACTAGGTACGTTCCACAAAGCCTCCCCGACTCTCCGACCAAGTTGCGAGAACATGGTCGAATCAACACCAGATAACATCCTGTTTGGATTGGACTTTCTTCCCTCCGCTGTGATCTGCGGAGTTCTGATTTTACATTTTGCACCGCCTTTCAATGATTGCCTTTTCAATGTCAGCCCCCTGTACTGTATTCAGCCATTTCTACATAGAACACTTGGTTATACTATTTTTTCTTTTCTTCCTTCATTTCGGGGCCTTCAACTTTGGAGCTGTAGAGTGTAAGAGTTTTATATTTTATAGACATTTCACGTCCTTCTCTTTTGAGCACTGAAATGCCTGAAATTGCATCTTTCGTCTCAGTTATGCTTCGCGGCATTTCATTCCAAACACTCTCCAACTGTTCCGAGTCTACATAATTCTACTTTCTTTCTTTTAACTTGTCAATACTTGCTCAGTCTTTGTAAACATTTTAAGTGATTTCTTTCATGTAAACTCAAGTCTTCCTCTCTCTCCCTTTCTCTCTCTCTCTTATTCTTTATTCAGATTGACGACCCAAAATTGGGGCAAAGTGAACCGTTTGTATCACCGACCTATATGGCTATTCGTAAAATAGTAAGTATTCGTGATAATAGTATATTTCATCTTTATTTCTAAACGAATTCCTTCATGCAAAGTTTATTCAACTCTCGTTTGAAGTTGTGGATAGCTTCTGCCGAACTATCCATCGTAGCCTCCAACGTAAGAGTGTGCAACCAGCTTTCGCTGTCAGAGGTACAACTGCCACTTAAAGGTTGATGTTCCTCTTGTACCGCCTCAACTGGTCCATTCCCCGTGTCAGAGCCATTCTGGGCACAGAACGACTTCCCACAGAAAGCTGAAGGTTCTTGCCTAAATCCAATTTCTGAGATTCCCATTCCAGGACTGTGCCCAGCGTCAAGGTGTTCTTTGGTAACAGAACGGACGTACAACTGCGCTCCCACAAGCATAGGAATCGGCTGTCTGGTGCATATAAAACATAAATACAACTGTCTAGTTTAAAAGTGGAGGTAAAAGAGGCGGGTTGCAATAAGTTAGGTAGTTTATCTCCACTTCACTAACCGTTTTAACTGTCATAGCGACCATTAAATACAAGTGTATATATATATATATATATATGTCTCCGATTCTAGGCACTAGATATTTGTAATTATGGTGGTTTAAATTTCGAGTGAAGGGGCTTGATGTAGTGACCCCGAAGGTCGATCCTATAGGAAGAGAATCAAGGATGCCTGCTGTTCTATATTTGCTTGATATTTTCATGAGGTTTCGATTGAAGAGAGTCTCTAATACCACACTACAAACATGGTAAGGGCTGCAGCTCATTCAAAGTCAACATTAAGTCAAAATAGATCAAGCGACTTTCACCACATGCTATTCTTACATACAATAACCACCAAAATAGAACTAAAAACTTACCAATAGATTGATATATTGACAGTTTCATGAGGTTTCGATTGAACAGAGTCTGTAATACCGCACTGCAAACATGGTAAGGCCGGTGAGGTATCACTTTCAACTCAATACTACTCTTCACCTCTTCAGGCAATATAGTAGATAAGTTAATTAATTCAACAATAATGTCTAGAGGATGCTTTACCTCATATAAAAGAGTAAAATTAAATCCACTTTCACCCTATTTCATTTAAAATGATGAAAATCTGGTTGTTGAATTTTTCCACAATCATATGAATAGGCCTCACGTTTTTATTGCATTTCACATGGCTTTACTTTTTAATAGGCATTCTAATCAAGACTTGACTGGGTTGGGCTACAGTTTTGACCTAATCTGAACCATTACGTCACAGAGCAGATGTGAACTCAAGAAAGTTCAGGCTTTTCTCATATCCCTTCCTGTCCAGGGAGCAAAGTTGTATTTGCTATAGCATTCCACTATATTACTTATTTTCGTTTGCAATAAGGCTTCGAGAGATAAAACCCATGTATATCACCTCAAAACCTACTTATGTGCCAAAATAAATCATGTAGCAGGAGCCATGGCAGTGTGGCATTGTAGCAACATGTCGAGATTATAGGCTAAACTACCACAAACCAAGTTCGAGTCCCGCTGCACTGCTGAAGAGACTAGTTCACGCAAGGTTGAAAATGCAGTCCAGTTCGGCTTAAATGAGAATACCTTTTGGTCAGTAAGGCTATGTGAAACTTAATGGAACCGTAAGGCCTACTCATATTATTATGGGAACATTCAACTCCCCACCCTTCATGACTTCAAACAAAATAAAGTGAACACAATTCCCACTCCAGATCGACTGGTGTTGTAGAAAACCCATTTACAAACAAAAAGGATAAGCTTTTTGTCTGTGTGTGGGAGCAAGAAAGAGTTAACTAATACATACTAAAAGTTTGACCGTGATTAGAATCAATACCAACAGAACTCTTGTTGAGATGCCTCCTTTTTTCAGGTGATGATTGCTTTAATAATGATCATAATTTTAATACGCTTTAAGCCACTCTTCCACGCTCGCATTCAGACAAGAAGCTCATCCATTTGACCAGGTGTGTGTTCAGCATTAAGCAAACAGAACAATGGTTACTTTTAACTATTTCTACTGGATTCATACGTACACGCTCAAATGAAGGCATATAAACAGACATATACATACAGACGACGCACGCATTCACAAGTTTCTAGACTGTCATATTACTTGAATTACCCACATCACTCTATTCCTAAGCAAACTTCATATATTTCATGTAGATATACACGTTTAGGGATAAGCCAGATTTTTTTTGACTCTCTGATGTGAATTTTTTTCGTATTTATTTCGTATGAAAGTTAATTATGAAGAAATTCGTAGGTCGATCTCACCGAAAGAGGACGGAGATCAACAGTCGTCTGCTGCTGGGATCGAACTTTAAACCTCAACATCGTCCTACACTCGCCTCGAAGTGAAAGTGACTTCAATTGATAGAAACCAAGAGATTCGTTGAAACCCAACTTTTATTCGAATGTCCTCTTTTACTCCCACCCTTTAGATCCCTTCAGACGAGCCCGATGTGCTACTTGAGGAGCATTACTTTTACAGCTTCGAGAGTGCACAGTTTCATCTCAGTCAAGATGATCCTCAATTTTCTATAATCGGCATCTATAGACCGTGGGACTATGATATAACTATGTGTCTGAAGGAAGAGCTGGTCGAACTTGAGCTTCGCTACGAAAGTATGTTTTGCTTTGATTTCATGCATTGTATATTCAAACTGTTGTACATGAACACTATGCGATTCGCGAAAAGGGAAGAATGAAGGGACGCATCTCGTTGAGCAGGTCAGCTTGACTTGGCTTAAGCTGTTGAATTCAGTTGACTAAGGCTGAAGGACTACCGGCTCCTTTCAGGACCTATAAGTGTTGAAGGCAAATTTGGCCTCTTTTCCTCGGTTCCTGAAACAAGTCTGGCCAGAACACGTATGACAGAGTTACAAAATAGGAATCAATTGAATCTATGATCACATTGGCAACACACTAGTCTGGCGGTTAGCACCCTGGAAACCGCAAAATGCCATGAGTCGATAAAGGCGAAGACATCCCAGTACTCAAACACCAAATGATTCTGTACTGTCTGGGCCAAACGATTAACTTGAATAGCGAATAAAGAGACCATATAACAATTTTCCATCAGTAGTCTGTCAGTAGTTTATTTTATGTATAGGTTCGCTTAAAGTAATTTGCAAATACATGAGTTGTATTCACCCTATTTCATCTAAGGTGATTAAGAACTGGTAGTTGAATTTTTTCCACAATGATATGAGTAGAGCTGACGTTTCCATTCAATTTCACATAGCCTTCCATGGAAACGTCAGCTCTACTCATATAATTGTGGGAAAATTCACCTACCAGTCCTTCATCACTTTAAACGAAATAAGCTAAATACAACTTATATATCTGATTTACCGGTAGTCTCGAAAACCTACTTAATAACGAAAAAAAGTTATTTGAGGACTTTGAGCGACCTAGGATGACTAAATTTTTTTTCAATAATTACTGAAATCATCGAACCCTACTTATATCAAAAATAGGTAACGTCATTTGTTTCAATGGCAAAAGTATTTATTCGCAACTTTTTGACTTAGCAATGCTTTAAAGGAATTTTTATTTTTTCATCTTTAGTGATTGTCGATGACAAAAAAAAGGCGAAGTACATCGAGTTGAGCAAGGATTTGGTAAATGTGATTGGATTGGCCTCAATGAGATTCCTCTGGGAAAAGCTGAACATCAACGTTAGTCCTCTTCGCTTCCAGAATTTGCTTGTGTCTATAAAGGAAGTATATGCTTCTATCACTTTCCGAATTATAGAATCTGATAAATACGCCGAATGTGAGTTTAAATATACCTATATTGATTTATTTATTTATGTATTTATTTGTATAAATTGATGCCTATTTATCTGATTTTTTAAATATCTTACTGAGGACAATTTTATTTATTTTCACAAAGACTTAAATAATGTCGTACTTCGGCATCGGATAAGGTGCTTGGTTTCGGACACTGACAATTATTCCCCAGTAGAGAATTGACGCTTAAATTTAAACTTTTAATCCAGATTATATTATACAAGTTGCCCTACCAACAAATACGGAATTTAAACCTTGTCTCAATGGTCAAGCCTGATTTCAGGACGGAAGATGAGTTTTCATAGCCTGCTCAGCTTTGTCTATTGCACCCTCTATCAACGTGTAATGGGAGTTTACCTCAATATTTCCGTAATGCTTTGTGTACATTCAACTTTTTCTAAAGGATTCCTTTTAGTTTCTCTGTGGCACAGAATTATTCGTGGTCTATTAAAATGAATTTGTTGGGAAAATCAGTGAAAAAGTAACTTTTCTTCCCCCCTGCAGTTTCGTTGTCACTCCGTCATACATCCTTGAGGAGAACCCTCTGTTGAGGCTCAGATTTTGAAGTTAAACCCTTCCACCAAATTATCATGACTCACTGACCGATCAGATTATGACTGTAATTTCAGAGATACGAAAAAGCTGAGTATACTTACTGAGATTCATGTTAAGCCTTAGTTCACCAAAGCTAAGTCTAGCATTCAAATATTCTATTTGTTCTGGCGCTTTTCCGTCTACTTATTTTTAGAAGCACAGATGATAAGACAGGTCAAACGATACCATAAGCGATGCTGTAATCGAACCCGAATTCGCTATTTTCACGAAGTTAGATATTTTAGAACATTCGGTCTTATAAGAGATACAGCTCATTTCTCAGTCAAAATGTAGTGTGGAACGGATTTTCGCAAACATTTTGTGCATATACTTTATGGATAACTATGAGAAAGTGACTTAATAACAATTGCCCGAGTTAAAGGACTCGTATTTGTATATTTTGCTTCTCTGAAGGCTTTCTCATCTCGGCCAAAGTCCGAGTTCAACCTCGCCATAATCTCACCATTACCCTAGAGGGCATCCAAAGCAGAGTAGTGCAAAGAAGGCTGTGCATCATTTGAGCGATGTATGGAAAATATCCACCGACAATTTAACACTAAATGAAATTTATGCCATAGAATTTAAGCAACTTTATCTTATTAGTAGTATTATCAGTGGTATGAGAGACTAATAATAAGACTATCGAAATATAAAATAATGTATGAAAAATCGAAATAAGTCCATAAAATATGAGAATACAAAGGAATTGGTTGTCAAAAGGATCATTTAATTTTATTACCATTATTAATACCTAATCAAAATATAAGATAATATAAAGCTTTTCATTCATTTATTCTTGCTTATTCTTGTCTTAACTTCAGTTATTTTTGCATACTTAGTTAGCTTACTTGCTTAGCTACGCCACATGCCTTGGGTATTAGACAAGCAGTTTAGTGGATAAATGCTAAGTTTTTGCTTTGGACTGGAGTTACGTGTGGCTCAAATCCTCAAAGTGTTACTGTTGTCTGTTTCGGAAGACTTTTTTGTTCATTA